GGCCAAAGCCTCACTTTCAGCAACATCTGGAACAGCAAGGTAGAAAGAAAGGTAAGATTCTACCAGAACGGCACAATAAGACAGCCAGATTCTTCAGCCAGATTCTTCCATAGGACTTTTTATCCCTAAGCAGTAGAAGAACACACTTCTGAGAGAAGATGGAACACTCTCCAGGTTAGACCAGGTCTACCCTGATGGGATGGGATGAATGTGATGGGGAAAATGGACAATACGTACTCTCTGACCACAATGGGTGAAATTTGCAATGACTAACAAAAGACGGAAAGTTTGTGAAAATAAGGAAATCAGACACACATTCTTGCACAACTGATGAGACAAAGAAAAAACTGAAAGGGGAGTAGAAATGTTTTGTGGTTAAACTAGTAATTGTGACGTATGCAGTGAAAGCTGCTGGGAGGGAAATGTGTAGCTGACAGCACACAGATTGAAAAATTCCTCAAACTAAGAACTTAATCCTCTACTTCATGAGAAACCCCAAACAAGCAGAAGAAAGAAATAAAACAGGGTTAGAGTAGAGATGGCTACAAAACAGAATTCAAATCTAAAGGGGATAACTGTGAAGCCGAAAAGCTGGTGTTTTGAAAACATCACATCAGAACTGACAACCATTTAGCTAGATTGATAGGGAATAAAAGCAAAAAGTAAGAAAACAGAGAAAATAATGGGACCACATCACCCAGGAATGGAAGAGGACAGGAGTCAGTGCTGCTCTTACAGAAGTGAGCGACTGTGAAGGGCTCTTTCAACACGTGTTTGTCACAGTTAGGTGAATTCTTTGAAATGAAAATTTCCTGGATATATTAATGTCAACTCTTGCGTGGAATCAGTTGTTAGTGAGGTGTGGCATTTCGTTCAAGTTACTCAGGAAGTTGTGAGGCAGGGGGATGCTTGAGCCCAAGTGTCTGAGGTCAGGCTGAGCAGCATGAAGGATCCCACTCTAGAAAAAAAAATTACAGGAAGGGAAGGTGGAGGACAGGGCACTAAATCCAATCACCACCTCCTTGGAAGAAACAGGAGAAAGAGGCAGGGGCACAGACCAAGCCCTGTAGCTACAGATGCAGAGATCTGAATTAGGAAGCTGTAAGTCAAGGTCCACCTGGGTCATCAAGAGCTGGAGGAGATAGGGAAGGTTCTCTGGGGGAGCCTACAGGAGAACCTGACTTTGCCAATAGATGCATTTTCTTTGAGCTTTTATCCTCAGAACTATGAAAGAATAACATTCTGTGGTATTAGCCCACACCATCTGTGGTGATTTATTATAGAGCCCTAGGAAGTTAGTAGCAGTTGCCTTTGCTTTCTCATTTCCAATCACACAGCTGGGGCTCCCGCAGTGTAGTACACTGTATTTCACTGACCTCTGGGTTCTAGGGCAGTGGTAATGAAGCTTAAATTGGTTATGTATCAGGAGACTTTCAGTTGGAGCATGTTTATTTCCCCAGATAATTGGAAGAAGGCAGAATTCAAGAGCCTGGAATGGAGGTCCAGAATTCCCAGAGTCCTGTCTTGGCAATCATTTTCACTAGAGTATGTCCTTACTGGTAGTTGCTAAGTGGACCCCATGGCAGGGCTAACAAACATGCCCAAAGCTAGGTGTGGCTCAGCAGGAGGATGCTCCCTAGACTTCCATCCCCAGCAGTGCAAGGAGAAAACCACAGGTCTTGCAGGGCTTGTACCCACTGTTCTCCCCGAGTTAGGAGTCTGCGTGTATGGGACCAGACACACCTGACTGCGCTTTCTTGCCTGGCATTGGATTTAGGGTCCAACTCCATTTTCTCATCAGCCTTAACTTCCCAGCTCTGTGCACAGGGGAGGACCCAAGGGGAAGGAAAGTGGAAGTGGTGCTGACCATGACCCAGTTCGGAAAAGACTCTACAGCATTCAATGTATAAAGTATTCATGGCTCTAAAAGCCTTTCCAGGAGTTTGAAAGTGTTTTCTTTGATCTATATGGATCCTGATTGGAATTCTTACTTAGCCACTTTCCAGCTCTGAGGGAGTTTTAGGAAAAGTTATGTAACCTCCTGGATTGTCACTGTGTTCACTTCCAAAGTGATTTCTTATCTCACAATTGCAATGGGTGGGGGATTAACAGAAAGAATTTAAAGGACCAGTGTGGTGACTGGGGCGCAGGAAGTGCTCAGTGCTGATGAGGAGCACCATCAATGTTACCTTTCTTGCCTCTCTGAGGGCTCATTGCTTGATTCCACCCCATTCCTGAGGCTCACCCCTTTCCTCAGGTTTACAGGATAGGAGATGGCTATGATAGGGCCAATCGGAGCTCCTTCTACAATTGCCAGTGAGCAATTTTGTGTTTCTTCTGAGGCTCCAAATCACCACTATTTTGATTACTTGGTGTATTGGTTCCGTTTCATGCATACGGTGGGACTGGTGAGCCTCCTGGATTCTTCTGAAGTTCAGCATTAGCACTTGTTTAAAATAGCATTTATTTTGTTGACTGTGCTATCCTGTAGTGGATTCACAAATTATACATAATTAAAGGCCTTTTCCATGTACGTTTTTCATAGACACGTTGTTTTCTTGTTCTGAATTTAAATCGAGTTGACAGCTGCAAAGAGGTCTGAAGAATGTTCATTCATGCATTTCTGTGTCAAAAAAAAAAGACAGACATCCAGTCTTACATAACTATGTCCAAAGTACTCCCTTATTTTTAGGGCAGAGCGAGGTAATGCATTTTGCAAGCAAGAAAAAAAAATCTTACAATAATTTTTATAATACAAGTTTTTAAATACAGGATAACATCCCAATTGGTGTTACTGTTTATACATTTTTAAAAAACAAGGAATTTCAAAAATTTTATTGTATTCCAACTTTCTAACATATTGGCTGTAAGAATGTCTTCTATTTTATGCCCTTTCCTGATGGAGGAAGGTCATTGGCTAATAAAGGAACTACCTTGGCCCATTTTATTGGTTAGGACGTAGGTAGGTGGAGTAAACAGAACAGAATGCCAGGAGGAAGAGGAAGTGAGGTCAGACTCCAGAGCTCTCCTCTCGGGAGCAGACGCCTGAGAGAGACGCCATGCCCCGCTCCCGGGATGAAGCTCCGACCCAGGATGGACATAGGCTAGAATCTCCCCAGTAAGCGCACCTTGGGGTGCTACACACAGATGATTAGAAATGGGCTAAATTAATATATGAGAATTAGCCTAGAAGAGAATGGGCCAAGCAGTGTTTAAATGAATACAGTTTGTGTGTTGTTATTTCGGGCATAAGCTAGCCAGGCAGGCGGCCGGGGTGCTGGGAACGCAGCCCCACTGCCCTTATTACTACACTTTCCTCCTTTGCCTCACTGGGCAATGGAACCCAGGGCCTTGTACTTACTAGCATGCATTTCAACACTGACCACATCCTAGCCCTTGTCCCAGACTCTCTGGGCAGCCCCAGTTAGCTTCAACTACAAGACACTCCTTCCTCAGTCTCCTAAGTGCTGAGATTGCAAGTGTGCATCCTAACTCCCACCTGAGCATGTTTTATCTATTTATTTTATTTGCTTTTAATTTAGGGATGCAGGGATTTATTTACACTCATCCAAGGCTTGACAGAAGTTCGTTGCGTAGCTGAGAATGACCCTGAGCTTCTGAAAGCCCTGCTGCCACCACCAGATTAATGGGGTTATAGGTAAGAATCACGCTGCCCACGACACCCCGTTTATACAGCGCTGCAGACTACGCCTAGGGCCTTTCACAGGCTGGCTAAGTGCTCTCCCAACTCAGAGACACCCTGGGCATTTAGAATTTCTTTTTAAAGTATTGATGTAAAGTGACGGAGGACAATATCTCCAGAAAAGTAGGAAACCACCTGTGGTCACCCTGCTTCCAGACTTGGCATTGTATGTTTCTGTGACTCCCAGAGAATTATGCACCTGATTCTGTTTTCTTTCCATCTGTGGACGAAGAAGATGTCTAACTACAGACCCAAATTCCTTGCTCCCATTTGAAAAGCTCAGGGACCCAAGGATAAGCTGCCGAAGTAAAGAAAAGCCTTTGGTAAGCGGGTAAAACGGATAATGTTTTGAAAGTGTTAAGAAGGAACAAGGAAGGTGAAGGTGGGAAGAGGCGCCTCGCTGTTTCACCGTTAGCCTGACCTTCCTGCCCGGAGCTGCGCCACTCATTCTGACCACATCAACAACATGGCTAAACAAGAGCCGATTCCTAGGATAGAAATATGAAGTAATATCCAGTAACAGCCGGGGAAATGTGCAATTCCTATTAAGAATTATTTTATTAGTTTTTTCCCTCCCCCTTCTCTCATCTTTGGTGTGTGTGTGTGTGTGTGTGTGTGTGTATGTGTGTGTATGAGTGTGATATGTATGCATAGATATCTGAGAGAGGAAAAGCCCCCATCTCTAAACAAGAAGTTATTCCCAATTGATAACTGCTCTTAAAAGAAAAAAAACATTAGTTTTTCTCCAATGGAGTCTCGCTGTGAATAAAAACCATGTTTAAGGGCAGGCGGGCTCCATGCCAGTACGCTATACCAACACAAAATAAACTCAAGGTCGGTTTGGGAGGTTCTTTGTCGCACAATGCTCTGTTGGGGCTCTTTGTCTGTGTAGGTCCTTGTGGTATATATTATGATGTCCAGTTCTATGTTTTTACAGATTTTCTCTGAGTGTGAAATTTGTGTCTCTGCACCTATGAGTTTCCTAGTGCCTTTTCCTTGGCTCTGTCTTCTGTCTGCCAGCTCAGCACCTTCACCTTTGTCTCAGAGATGCTACCGGTGTCAAGAACTGCGAGCGCTCTTGCTCTTCTGTACAAGCTAGCACGTGCACACTGTGTTTAGAAGTGTTGCTTGGCAACCATGCTTTCCCCAACAGTATAAGGCTCTGGTTGGGAGACGGTTAAGTCTCGAGCCCCTTTGTGCAAATGTTGCTGGCGAGTCTTGTTTTTTTTTTTACTAAGACCTAATATTGGATTGGGGGACCAGAAAAGATGAAAATTTGGGAAGGGACGTAAAGCCAATGGCCTTTGCCAAGAAGTTCTTTAGGGTTAGGGAAAAGACACCTTTAGGTTTCTGTGATGGTCCCCAAATGACTGTCTCTGAGTTTCTCTTCGGTGAATATCCCAACTATCCAAAATACCATACAACATACAGACCCGTGGGGCAGATCCACCGGGTTGCCGCGGAGGGAGATGCGGGCCGGATGGAGATTCTCATCATGCTTGGACAATGCAGCGTGTTCGACAGGGACCACAAGAACAGGTGATGGGGAACGGAGGGCAAGTGTCTACCTCGTGTGCTGCCCAGCGTGGGAGAAGGTCTGTCTCCTTACTTGGCTTCCCCAAGAGCTCGGGTGGGCAGTGACGGAAGGGGGTCTGCCGGTACTTCTGGGGCTCTGCATCTGACACCTGTACTCCTAGGAGGGGTCCCGAGTTGCCAAATAGGAACTTTAATTGCTCCCCAGACTCCTTCTGAGTGGTTCAACAGAGCTGGCAGGCAGAGATCTGCCAATTGGGTCTGCTGTCGTCAAACGCCAAAGTACTGAGGTCCCAGTGGCTGGAGAGTCGCGGCTTTCACAGAGACCTAGTATTGGTTGGGGTCTGGGGGTGATGTAAATGAAGCCTGTGTTCTATTCACAGCATACACACGGATCTTTGGTGTCACGTTAAGAAAAAGGACACGTGTTGAGGTGCTCGCACCACACGGAGATCTTCCATGCTGATGGGGAAAAAATAGCAGTTCCTCTCACTTCTTTCTTCCTCCTTCTCGTTCTTCGGTTTCCTCCTCATTTCCTTCTCTCTTTTCCTTTTTCTCCTCCTCTCCCCTTTCCTTTACCTCCTCCCTCTTTTCTTCCTCTCCCTCTTTGTCCTCCTTTCCCCTCCTATTCCTGTGTCTCCTCCACCCTCTTGACCTTTTCTCCTCCTTCCCACTTCCTCTCAGGGGGGACTCTTATAACAGTGTCCTAAGACCTGCCATCTGTTTATGAAGCAGAGCTAGAATTATTAGAAAAAAACAGATGCAAACACAGAGATTAATAGAGGACACTCTTTCCGAGGGTAGGCAGGTCAGTCAAGGGCTGTGTGCAAGAGAATTACCTAGATATCCTTTTTTGTTTCTAATTTTATGGGTTAGGAAATTGAGGCACAGGAAAAGTGAGAGGTACCTAGAAAGTGTCTTAGCTCAGAGCAGGATTAAACCCAAGGGGAATTTAATTCAAAGGTGATTTCTTTCTTTCTTTTGAATGAAAAATGTTTTTTTCATGCAGTATACTTAGATCAAGCTTTCCCCTCCCCAGCTGCCCTCAGATACGCTCCATCTCACCACCTACCCAACTCTATACCCGTTCTCTCTTTAAAAACCAAACTAAAAAACAACCCCCAAACCCCAAGGCACACACAAAATGAGCCCCATAAAAACATGAAAATGGAAACCAAAATATAAAGCAAAACAGCAACAATACAATTAATTTTCTTTTTGACAAAGAAAGGAAAATGAGACAAAAATCATTTTTATCCAGCCATGCTGTTTTTCTGTCCAAACACGCTGTTCTGGGTGATTCAAATGAGCAACCCTATGGCAGAGCACTTGTCTAGAGGAAGGAGATCATGTGATTTATCCATGGCTCACCTATAATTGCATGAATAATTGTGGATTTTGAGACAGTGCTCTCCACCATCAGAAAAACTCTCATTTCCACAGGACAGCTTTGCATTTTGCCTGTGTCTATGGCCGGCTCCCAGTGGTGAACATTCTATTGAAAAACAATTGTGAGATCGATGCTTTTGACCAGAGACAAATCACACCTCTGATGAAGGTAGGTAGCAGGCATTAATTTCTGCATAAGCTAGGTGTGATCAAAGCGCCTGTGAGGGAAAGAACGCTACCTCCATGGACAGGTAGCTTGCTGGTGAAAGTTGTGGGATGAATTCCTTGAATTCCTTGAGCTTGACAAGTCTACTTTTTTGTTATAAAATGCAGTCTGTCCAATGCTGGAAACAGAAGTGTGCGGCCGTTCTCCTGGAGCACGGCGCTGATCCGAACATTCGGGATAGCAGCGGCAACTGCGCGCTGCACTATGCTGTGTACAACGGGCACGAAGACATGGCCGCATTACTGCTTGAATACCACGCCGATATCGAACAAAAGACCAAAGTACAGTTCACCGTATTTTAATCCTAAAACATCTGAAATACATGTTTTGATAGTGGCAAAGCTGGGGGGAGGGAGGACATTTTATATCTAGAAACCTAAGCATTTCCTGAGTGAAAATACTTGGAAAGGACTCAGCTGTAGAAGCGGTGAGTCTAACATCTGTACTTAGAAAGAAACATCTGATGCACAACTTTCTTTTATACATTTAATGTGAAATATTTGAGAATCTGGTGGTGGTAAAATGTCCTAATTTTTATCTTTTTCCTCACCATTTCCCTTGACCTTTCCAAAGCCGCCTGAGTAAACAGCAGAGTTTACTTCGGGAATGGCTCCATTTTAAAACCCGAAGACAACAAAAGCACTTTTGTAAAATGGAAATCGTGATGCTCTTGACAAGCTCTTGTCAAGTGGCCTAAGGCTGAAGAAGAAAAGATGAGAAGGGAAATTAATCAGAAATATGCATCTGGAAATTAGAATTAAATGAGAAATTTAATTCTGAGGGAATAAAGCCAGAGGAATTAAAAATAAATCAGTTATTGTGTGCTGATATGGCGTTTCTCCATGTTGAAGGTAGTAATTCGTAGTTTGAGCAAGAAAACCATTTAAGTACAAACATGTCTAGGGATCAGTTGGGGACTCTGGAGAAATGAGACTGGTAGTAACTAAGCAATAATTATGTGGAAAACTAGAGGAGGATCAAACAGTTTGCTAGTATATATTCTGGAAGAGGCATCCACTTAGGTAAAGACTATACCCTGTCCTCAAATCTACCATTGCTTGCTGGGTGAGAGGCTATTTAAGTTTGTTTTTTTTTATATTGAAATTTTGTTGCATTCTGAGTAATGAGTTGGGTAACATGCTTCCTGTTTTTAGTGATTGAGTCCTTTTAGTCAAAAAACTTTTAGTCAGAATGCTGAGGAGAATTATGCATATCCATATAGATGAACTGAAGTTCTGTTTGCATGGCTCTAATTCTCAGACATAGTTGTGTGGATTTTGATTCAGTACATCTAATAAGTAACCGGCATGCATCTCTGAAAACATTTCCTTGGAATGTTCTGAAACAACTTCTAGCTTAGGAAAGAAACCCTAAGTAGATAGCTGAAACATAGGTATTCCTGGGTTCTAAAATCATGACATCTCTAGAGGATCTAGAATTTGACCAGATGTTGTTAGATGCTACTTCCTGCCAATGTGTCTTTCCCAATAGTGCTGCCCTAACTTTCCTTTTACTTTTGTGTTGAGAAGCAAAATATGGAGCATTATTTATTATCAAGTAGTTTCATTTCCATCGCTATGACAAAATACCTGACAGAAAAGCAACTTAGGGGCAAAGGGGTTTATTTTAGTTCACAGTTCTAGGTCCAGCATTTCTGGGAATTCACTGCATCGGATGCCTGAGTTAGCTGGTCCCGTAATCTCTATAGTGAAAAGCGGAGAGAAGGGAATGCATGGATATCCACTTGCTCATGCAGGGCTTGAATTCTTCACTCTTCTGCAGTCCTGGAGCTTCTATCTAGGCAATGGTGGCAGTCACAGTAGGCTGGGTCTTTCCACATTAATTAAGACAATCACACACACAGGCCAACCCAGTGTAGGCACTGAGATTCTCTTTCTGGGTTGAGTCTAAGTTGTGCCAAGCTGACAGTCTAAGCTAACTATCACAATCAGCAATGACTGCTGACTTACAGAATAAACCACTTTTCTTGTAGCCATCAATAATAATGTACTACTTAGAAGGTCTCTGACAATTTAGTAAGTAGAGGATGTGTTTTTTAAAGGTTTATTATTCAAGTTAACAGAGCCCAAGATGTGAATTACAAACAGGGTTTCTCTATCAGAAGATGGGAAACCATGAATCACCTTGTCACTTAAAGAACAGTTGTCTGTCGGGCAGCCAATCTCAGTGAAGGTGTTCAGTTGATAGAGCCCTGGCATTATCAGTCTGGCATTGTAAGCACACATGCACACTTATGTGCACGCGCGCGCGCACACACACACACACACACACACACACACACACACTACGAAGTCCACAGGAATCATTTAACTTCATTTTCTATGTGACTAGTAATTATTTTGTGAAACCAGAAGAATTGAATATGAGAGGAATATAAATTATCAAGGGCAGGAAGAACTAAGTATTACAAAGTTTATTTATTTATTTTTTTCGAGACAGGATTTTTTTTTTTGTAGCTTTGGAGCCTGGAACTCACTCTTATAGACCAGGCTAGCCTTGAACTCAGAGAGATCCATCTGCCTCTGCCTCCTGAGTGCTGGGATTAAAGGCGTGTGCTACCTCTGCCTGGCATTTTTTGTTTTTGATTACATTTTGGGATATTGATCTTTCTAAACACACTTGCTTTGTACAGAGTCCCTGGAAAACACCCCCCTAGCAACAATGAAAGCACAGAGGAAATGGGCTCAAAGAGGCTTTGGCACACTGTTAATTTTCTTTGTGACTTGAATCCACTGTTAAGCTTTGGGAAATCTCTGCAAAAACCTGAACTTCACATTGCCCCCTAAAGAATTAAGCCCTGTCTCTCCTGAGACTTGTACTGTTGGGTGCCCATGCAGAAGGCAGCCATATTGTCTTAGATCCAAGTGTACTTACTTTAAAATCTTGCTATAAAAATGAAAATTTGGCCATCGACTCACTAACTTATGAACTCCTTTGCCATTGTGTGGGGTTTGATTTCTTGATGTAAAGAAGATTCAGCCCCTATCCTTAAGAAGCTTTTAGCTTATATGGGAGCAATCACATGACTTCAAAGAATAAATGCTGTAACAGAAACAAATATTTGAGGTAGAAATATAGGTTTGAAGTGGGCACTGGGAAGGGTTAGGTTCACGTGAACACTCTTGGCAGGAGAGGAGATGTCACAGAAGGGGAACGGAGGAAGAGAAAGGCGGCACTGTTAGAAGGAAGGATGGCTTAGCCCCTGTGGTTTCATGCTTTTATCATGTTTTTATTTGTACGGCCCTCTAGAAGACCTTTAGGTAGGCTGAAAACATGTACCTTTTTGAATTACAGATTGTTTTTGTTGTTTTGCAGGATGGGTTCACACCACTTTTGCTGGCACTCAGAGAAAAGAGGGTAGAGGTGGCAGAATTTTTAGTCAAAAAAGGAGCAGACATACATGTTGTAGATGACATGCAAAGGTAAAGTCATTTGAACATCAGTAGTATTCTGGACTAGTAACCACCACTCAGTTCAGAAACATGGCTGGTTGGAGGAAGAGGACTAACTCACAAGAATACAATGAAGACATCGACACGGGCATCCGTTTGGTCGGTTAGAGAAGAAAGCAATTGTTTGAAATGAGCTGTATAAATAATATATATCTTTTATTTGTGCAAGCGTGTCTCTGTGTGTGAGTCACATTGCCTCATAGTACTGACTGAAGACTGCTATTTGTAATCTGACTTTGTTGGTTGTGTGATCTTAGGAACTTATGCGCTAAATGGGTTTCATTTGTTTTCAAAATGTACCAACTGGAGGCATGATTTTTTTGATCCACAGTAAGATTGTTAACCATCTAATGGTATTTCCTTTTTTATTTTTAGGTTTTCTTTTTACTTATTTAACTTAATTAAAACACTTAGTTAACTCTTGAGAACTTACATCATGTATTTTGATTGTGCTCACTTCTGCTGTCCACCTTAACTCCTGTCTGTTCATCCCTCACCTTCCTGTGCTCACCTCCGCTGTCCATCTTAACTCCTGTCTGTTCGTCCCTCACCTTCCTACCCTGACTTTGCGTCCTCTTGTTTAAAAAAATGAATAACATATCTACTCCAGGTTGTGCTGCCCATATTCTTCTGGTGGATGTGGTGCCATCCACCAGAGCTTGGTTGACATATCGGGAGCCACACCCTTAAAGACATCTGACTCTCCCTCCCCTAGAAGCCATCAGCTGTCAGCAGTTCTTTAGCTAGGAGTAGGGGCTCCCTAACCCATGCTAAGAGGTTGCGAGTAATTGGCTTGACCCTGTGTAGGCAGCCACAACTGACCTTGAGCACAGCAGACTTGCCATGCCCAGGAGACACTGCTTTATTCAACTCCTTCTCAACCTCTGGCTCATAGAACCCTCTTGCATTGTCTTCCTGATGGCCCATAAGCCTTGAGGAAGGGATGCGATGTAGATGTCTCGTTTTCTGTGGAGGTCTCTTCAGCCACCTGTTCTCTGCATTTTGACCAGTTGTGAGTTCTGCATTAACCATCATTTACCACACAAGAAAACTTCTCTAAAGAGATCTCAGATTTTATAGTCTTCACACTTCCTTCTTGTATGCTTTAAGACACTATATTCAGCCAAATAGGAGTCAGAAGTTACAGGGTGCGGAACGGCTCCTAGAATTACTTTTCTTTGTAGAATATTAATGTTAGGTTATCTCTAAGTGAATATTAGTTGTTATTACTAAATGCTCATTTTCCCCTTTCCCTTCCCTGATTTATTTTAACCATTTATATTTACTTGCCATTGGAAAGGAGATAAAAATGTTAATTGGATAAAATTTATTGAAGATAAGTCATAAGTGAATGATAAAAGGGGAGACTTCAGGTTCATTCAAGACTGGATTCAATTCTCAGTCTATCCAGTTGCTTGGTATGTCATCTTCAGAATGATGCTCATGGCCAAATATATCTCCTGATGTGAAACAGATGGTAACACCCTTGATAAGTGGTTATAGGGTTTATTTACATATTTCTTAGTTCAGTGAACAGTACATGGTTATCGATATCATTAACTGAGAGCACTATGAATTTTATCATCAGTACTTCCATATTACTACCATTCTAAGCATGCACATAGCTTTGAGTTACTTCATCTTCAGATAATTAAGAGCAGTAATATATTCCATTAGTCTAGGAAAATGTGAACTCTTCCTTAACTACTTCAAATGCAAGACCTTAACATAGCAATTTGTTTTTTAAATGTCAGGAGGTCAGGAATTCTACTAAAAAGTAGATCAAGGGGAGAAGATATTTATTCTTTATCTTAGGAGATAGCCTCACAATGAGGAACAGTTGTGGGTCCATGATGCTTTGTCTGTTAGAAAATGGTCAATTCTAGACAGGCAGGCGAGATACTAAGTCGGTAAGACAAATCTGTGTAGATTTAACTAATTTCATTTATTTCATAATAGTGAATCTGTCCCTCTGCTATTTCAGAAACACCTTGATGTATGCTATACGATGTGGATCAAAAGATATAGCCATGTTACTCCTTCAAAAAGGCATTGATTTCTTCTACAAGGATGTCTTTGGATGGACAGCGTTACGCTACGCTGTCGAAGGTCATTGTACTTTGTAAGTATTTCCAATAACATGTTAATTACAATTATATTGACGTTCAACATCAAATGCAACTATTACATCGTCTGCTTGTGGCATCATTGCACTGTGTGGGTAGTTTTAGAATGACAGTGACTTAGCCATTGTGACTTAGTTGTTGGAAGTGACTTAGTGTTGGAAGAACTATGTCACTGTGGAGGTGATAAACTTTGAGGTTTCATATTTGCTCAAGCCATACCTGGTGTCTCAGTTCAGTTCACTTGCCTTTGGACCAAGTTGTAGAATTCTCCCAGCACCATGTCTACCTGCACACCACCAAATGCCCAGTCGCCATGCTCCCCACCATGGTAATGGACTAAGCCTCTGAAGCTGTAAGAGATTACCTCAATTAAATGTTTTTCTTTATAAGAAAATAAAACAAAAAAGAGTATTTTTGATTTTTTTCAAGTAGCTGCTTGGATCTTGAAATGCCCAGTTCAGTAGACAGTTGTGTTGCTTTCCTGGGGGAGTTGTCTTCTGTACCCTCCTCCTTGACTTCTCAGTAGCTGGAGGGATTCTTAGGTTCAAGGAAGCCAATTTTCTTCGAAATGTCAGATGGAGAGGAAGGAAGAGAATAACCTATCATTCTTTGTTTCTGTTGGTTCCATCACTATTAAAACATGCCCTGAAATTTGATAGCAGTTAATCTTAGCTACCATGTTGTCTATACTGAGCCAGACTTCTAAGCCTTTATGATAATATACACTCAGAACTGAAAGTTACAGTATCTCAAGTTCATGTGTACTTGTGTTTTTAAACTCAGCTATATTCTCAATCCACACTCTTCTGGCAATGGTACTTTCTTAGCTTCTACCACGTACATTGTTAGCAATCTGACACTTCAACCCATTCAGCATCTCACATAGAAACCACCTGTTAGCTTAGACCTTTGTGATCAATTCACATTGAGAAATTTGTGTGTCTTTCTGATGACAAATATGAACTGTATAAAAGTTCAAATCATGTTGCAGAAAAATCACAAGGTTCCTCTATTGACTAATATCAGACCCTGTCATATACTTCACAAGAGGCCCTATCATATCATCTGTGCACCTTTTTCTAGGTGCTTGGATGTCCTATATCAACCTGTCTAGGGTTACTGTTGAGTTTTTCTTGGGTAGGCACTCAAATGATTCTCTCTCTCCTTTTGTCTATAGTAGTATCAATTTCCCAAGTTATTTCAGTCCTGGTCTCATATCTACAGAGATTTTTTTTTTTAAATTCTTCCTCACAAGAAACAGCTAAGCATGTCTCTGGATCCAAAGAACAGTTGAACTTAAGAAAGCAAGACCACATTAGCTTTTATTAGTATCTACATGCAAAAGAGAGTTTTGTTTTATGAGTCATTTGGAGGTAAATACGATGATTTAAAATAGGCAGGGGAGGATGAAGAGGAAAGCGAAGAATCAGGTCTTGGAGTGGATTCACTCTCCAGTCATTTGATCAAGGAAGTAACAAATCATGAAGTACTTAGTGTCAAACTGTTAAACAATTCATTTTCTCTGAATCACAAGTCACAGTACTAATTAGCTGATAATCAAAACGAGGGCTTAACATTTCCCAAACAGTTGTAATATTTGAATCTTCCACACATTTGAAGTTTAGAAAGAACTCAACATCAGAAAATACTTTGCTGTTTTATTTCCCTGTACATGTTTTAATACTATCCAATAAAATCTTAAAAGAAACTCAAACAGCACAATCCTTATTTTTTCCTTTTCACTTAATGTCTGTGGGGAACAACTTGTGCAGTAGTTGATAGCTGTTAGTTATGGAGTGGGAATGCTTTCTGAGATCAGGGTACTTCACTGCTTGTGAGCCGATCCAGTCTGTGCCTTAAGCTTTATTTCTCTTATTTAATGCATTTTTTTACTTCATTTTTTCTTCTTCGTCATAGGCTTAATTACAAGATTTAGAGCCCATAAATTTCAAGCATGGAGTAAAAACTTCTAGTAGATCCTCTACTATTTTCAGTAATAGTCTCTATTTAGAGACAGGGTTTCATGTGCCCCATGTAGCTTGAGTTTGCTATGTGTCTGAGGATAAATTCGAACCTCTTGATCTTTCTGCCTCCACCTCCCACAAGCTGTGATTTCAGGTGTGTGCCACTATGTGATGCTAGGGCTGGAACCCCAGGCTTAGTGCTTGCTAGAAAATACTCTGCTCATGGACTTATGTCCCTAACCCCTGTAATATTCTTAAGAATCAAATATGCAAAATGTTTTTTAAATAAGTGATGTAGGAAGTCTTAACATCTAGTGGTTACCTGCTAACTGGGGTGTGGCCTCTTATACTATACATGCCGATGTAGAGCACGTGTCTGGCCTCTTTTCCGGCCTCACTGTTCTGGTTGTGGAATTTGTTTTCTGATCTCTGTTCAAACAGAGTATTCTGATTTGTGATTCTACCCCTAAATAAATAACCATCTATTTCTCAATTCTGAGCTAGTGAGGGATTTCTTTTAAGTGTCCATCCATAAATAAGTATTAAAATAATAATTGTATTTATTATTTTTCACATGACAGTAGACAGATGCTTCTGGATTTTGAGGAAAACATACATAATAACAAAAAAGATAATGAACCAGGTAAGTCTTATAACGACCTGCTCTTTGCAGTCCTACCATACCCAAAAATGTCGAACTAAGAAAGCTTTCATTAAAAAGAGTGGAAAAATGCATTTACCTTTATTTAATTTTTTCTGGATAGTCTACAGTATGATCTCAGGTAATAATTACATGAGGGTTACAATAAGAAGCGTGACCTTGTCTCAAAAAAAAATCATGTGCAGAGTCATTGAGGAAAACCATGATATTGATCTCTGGATTCCACATGCAAGTGACATATGCACACAGACAACCCCCAAATCCATGAATATGTGTGTTTCATGGGAGAGAGCAAGAGCAAGTGTGTGTGTGTGTGTGTGTGTGTGTGTGAGAGAGAGAGAGAGAGAGAGAGAGAGAGGCAAAGACAGAGGGAGAGAAAAAACCAGAGGTAATCAGCATCTTTGTTTTTGTGGAACTAGGAATTGATTCCAAGATCTCCTGCTCTTTAGGTAAGAGCTATGTAATTAACTTTACCTCCAGTCCCCACTCCTATTTTTGCTCATCATCAGACGTTATAATGACAAGGAATTTTCATGTAAAAAGCCATATGTATTTATTAAATATGCTTGTTTTCATAAGATTCTTGTCGAAGAGGTCACACTGTTACATAACTCACAGTTTTTCAGCTCCAGGACCAGGTAAGGACAGAGCAGTCTGGTATTTATAAACATAAAGAAAGATGGCTTTGGGTTTAGGACCATTTCTTCATGATGTTGATATGGCCTAGCTGGTCTCCAACATATGAATGATTGGGGAACTGTCTTGATGGCCTCAAAAATCTGGACCCTGCACTCTGAGGCAAGTCCATTCTTCTGCTCTGCTGTCACGTAGGGCATGCTCTGCCAGTAGAGGCTCTAGGCTTCCACCTCCTGGTGAAAGATCTGGGGTTGCCCTTACTTCCTGATCTACTACCTGCCAGGATTGTGGCCACAGAGGAGGACATTGGTGAGGAACTTGGTGCCTCTTAGGATACTCTTTCTTCAGGGACCCTCAGACACTTTATTTACATATTTTTTTCCATTTTTTTTATTGAGAAAAGGAGAAAAAAAAAACAAGTTTCCACCTCCTCCCAGCCTCCCATTTCTCTCCCCCTCCTCCCACCCTTCTCCCCCTCCCCCCATAAAAATGAAAACATTTTTATGCTTATGAAAACATGCCATGGGCATGCACATGAATCAGATTCAGGATGTGAAAGACACAAAGAATAAATACAAAGTAAAAAAAGGGTGGGGGGAGATTAGCTAGAACAAGCACCACACAGGGGACTCTTAAACTCTATTAGCATGTGGATGGTCTTTGCCTGGCCCTTGCACCTGGTCCCCTTTTGTATTTTGAACCCGACCCCGGCAGGATGTCATGTCCTTAGATTAGTGTCATTGGGATAGTACAGTCATCCCAAACTGAGAAACTCAATGGATTACTATTCTGTTCTAATAAGATAATTAGATGAAATTAGGAGTGTTCAGGGTGGTATAGCTGTAGATTATATTCCCCTATTCATGTTCCTCATGCTGTTAGTTCAGATATATCATGCAGTTTGCTTGACACTCTCAGTTGACAAGATAATGACCACATTTTAGGTTAGTCTCATACTAGTTTCTTAGGATTATGGTCATTGTACACACACCGAACTTTCATAAACTTCACACATTTTTCTTACTCCTTGTGTTCCATAAATATTAACAACAGAAATGGTCTTAATGCACCGATTGCTCCTTCAGCTGTACAAGATTGTCATGGTGTGTTTCCAAATGAATGTTCTCTAGAAAGTCTGAGTCATAGATTTTTAATATACTTTTCTTCCATTTGTTTAAAACGCATTTTATATTTTTATTTAGTAGAACAAATGGATTCTGGAAATGACTCATTGGCCAGGTAAGTTTTACATGTTGATAAAATCTGTATGTTATCGAAGTGCTGGAATGGACAGATGAGAAATAAATATTTGTTTAGCATTCTACTCTAATATATATGTATATAATATATCTAAATATAAAGCACAACATCATGCTTTATATTTAAACACTGTTCTTTATCATATTTCTTACAGTAGACATTCAAAGTATATGCTATGATAGCTCTTTATTCTTCACTAAGTAGGCACTGTAGCTGGGATCCCATGCCTATGATTTGACTCCTATTTGGCTTGGCTCCCTCATTCACGCTCTTGCTTATCCACAGGTTGGCAAGGACCTGGGTAGCCCTGAGATCTTGATAAACTCTATGTCAGATCAATAACAAAAGTCAAGTTTATATAGGAGCTCCTTTAGGATTTTCTTGACAAGTGCAGATACACCCCCAACAATTTTGATAATTTTGATCTAAAATTTTGATAATCACAGTGCCAGCCAGTACCCTGTCTTGAGTATCAGCAATTGTCTGGTACACCTTGCTTGGATGCACTCTGGACAATAGGAACATGCCGGGAGAGGATGTTCTTGTCGGGGAGTGAAGACTTTATCCGTATGCATAGCACGTGATACATATTATATTTAACACCTTTTTAGAGGATACTTGGAAATTAATTTCCCTACTTACTGATTTTTCACTTTTGTTTCTTCTTTAAGCTTCTATACATAGTTCAATGACATTTTTGTTTTACCTCCTCTTTCTCTTCCTCTTCCTCCTCCTCCTCTCTCTTTTTATGGTGACAATAACCTTTTCTCTGTAAATCAACTTCTCTGTTTTCTTCCTTCTTCCTTTGCTTCTGTTTAAAAAAATTCGGTCAACTAAAATTTTCAGAATTGTGCCCACCCATATTTGCTGCATAATTTGCTCTATAGGATTTCCGGTTGTTCTAGTCCCGGGCTTCCCTTGCCTGTCGTGAAGGAAGACGAGTGTAGCTGTGACACCAAGGTCAAATGCCCCTCTGCAGAGTGCGCTTCCTTGCCCCAGGTTTGCTTTTGTTTTACTCTTTAGGTTTAGTAGTGGTCCAGATGCCATTTCAGCACATGGAAAGTCAATCAGCAGAAATAAGATTGTGAGCAGCCACAGACAGCAATTGTCAATGTGGCAATCAGTGAAAAGGTCTAGCAACTACTGGGAGGCTGTGGGGAAATGGGGTGAAAATACAGAGCCCAAGAGAAATTGTATTAGCAATAGGCTTCCAATAATAGAGAATATTTGACATTTTGTCAATGATTATTTGGATAAACGTAGCTTACTGTGACTTTTATATTAACATGACTGATAATGGCCAAGTGAATCTTTAATATACTCAGTGTGTTATTATAGTAATCAATTTCCATGATGCCTTTAGGTTCAACAGCACAGGGCATCTAGCAGAATTGTTTTCTTTACATTTTAAATTTATCTTTTAAAAAAATTCATGTTTCTTGTCTTTTTGATTTTTGTTATGTTTTCTTTTAAGGACACTTTGAATTTTGGCATTCTGTAATCTTTTAGAAGAGTGTGTCCTCTATTTTTTATCTTTGATTCTGTATTTAAACTGTAACAGTATTAGAAATGTGAAAATCTAGAACTTAAACATCTGTTTCTCAAAGTTTGAGTTATAGAGAATATTGGGCACTTTCTAAGCCATTTTATGAGGAGTGCAAGGAAAGCTGCTTATGTGGTCAAAGTTGTTATGTTTTGCTTCAAACAAAGTCCAGTTCTGGGGGGGATGTGGGGGAGGAGGGGAGTTGGGAGATGGGAAGGGAGGGGGAACTGGTGTAGGTATGTAAAATAAAAAAATTTAAATAAAAGAATTGCATTTAAAATCCAGTTCTAAATGCAGAAACTCATACTAATCACATAGCAAAAGTTTAATTTCATATTTTAAAAATACATTATTTTTTAGGCTATAAATACATCATTGCCCCATCCTCTTTCCCCCTTCAAAGTCTCCCATGTACCTCCCTGCTCTCTGGGGAAGACTGTTTCCCCCTCTCTCAGCATCCCTTGGTTGCCTGTGTTTAAGCATGCACATGTTTAAAATGCCCCCTTGTTTCCAATGTGGAATCTCAGAGTTAGGAGCTATGCCTGTAGCTCCTCTCTGGAAGTATGCACACAAGTAAGAGTCTTGCCTATGAATATTTTTCCTACAAATTGCCTTGTCTGGTTTGTGGGATTGTTAGCCCTATAGAGTTTGCACATAAAGCCACAAAGATGGGCCTGATGTAGAGAGGCATGTATAAGGTTCGATACTGAAACACTGAGATTTTAAACACATCCCCCCCTTTTTTGTATAATTGCTTAGAAAATGACCAAGTTACATATCTTCAAGTGATAAAAATTTTATGCAACTAATTTTAATATTAATTTTAGCAGAGTATCTCTGAGAGTGCTCCTCTGAGCTGTGCTGGCAGTTTATCTTCGGCTATAGACAAAATATTTGAAAATTCGGCAAGAAGAAAAGTGACAGGTATGCTCCTTATTTCACAGAGGTCTCATTTTGGAGAATGTGGTTTATAACACGAGCATTGGTAATCTAATAGCCAAATACTGGAATTAATTAGGAAAACTTAAGCGAGCTTACTTCAGATGACTTCAACCCATGTGTGTTCAAACCAAAGATGAGGTTATTGCTGTTCCTTTGCAAAGTGTTGGGTTGACGGAACACCAAGACGTAGGAACCTTTAGTCTCTCATTCACCTCTCTGTAATCACCAGGCACTAAAGAGGTATGTCAGATTGATACCAGTTATCAATAATAATAAATAATTGAAATAGAAGAACATGCTATTCAAAATTTAAAATCATTGTTATTTTCAGTTGTTTGTTTTTAAAGATTTATTTTATGAGTTCTTTGTGTGTGTGTGTATCTATTTGTGTGAGTAAAGTACCAGTGGAGGCCAGAAGGGGCGCTGAGTTTTCTGGAACTGGAGTTATAGACGGTTGTGAGATACTAGTGGATTCTGGGAGTTAAATTCAGGCCCCCCTGCATGCTCTTAATCACAGACCTATCTCTCTAGCCCCTACTATTTTTAATTCAGGGATAAAAGAATTTGTTTAATCATAGAATTTTCACAATACATCCTTACTGTGCTCATGTTTTTCCCCATGAAAATCTCTTGTCCTGCCCAAACCCTTCTCTTGGTGTTGTTCTTCTCCGAGAATAATACTATCTCTACTTTTATGCCATTTATACATATGTAAGTTACACAGGAGATAAAATACGTGAGATTTGCCTTTCCGAATGTGTCTTATTTAATGTACATTAGCTGTCCTTCAAGCAGTTAACACAGCTTCACACTATTCTAATATGGGAAATGATAAACTTCATGAGTTCTTTTGTGCCATACCAAAATTGCTATTTTTATGACATTTTGCACAGATATTTTTCTGAGTATATTTTACTAGTGGATTCTGGGAGTTAAATTCAGGCCCCCCTGCATGCTCTTAATCACAGACCTATCTTAAATTCTTAAATTTCTGTTCGCATCTGTGTGTCTGTGTGAATGTCTGCCATGTCTGTGAGGGTGCCACCAGGGGTCAGAAGACAGCATTTGTTCCCCTGGAGCTGGAGCCCCAGGCAATTGTGAGCCACCCGAGGTGGGCACTAGGAACAGTGCTTGGGTTCCCTGGAAGAGAGGGAAGTGTTTTTAAACACTGAACCATCTCTTGAGAGATGAGTATATGTTTTGTTTAGCATATTCCAGTTGTGTTGCTGCCTGGACTTGTAATATTTCTCCAAATATTCAAATCATAGAGTAATAGTTGGAAAGCTAAGAATGAGAATTAGTTCTGTCCTCATTCTTTATGAGCATATGATTGGTGTTGTATAAGCATGGAAACAATTATATTTCCTTTTGCTTTTTAGCGTGGACTGAGAAAGATTTGTCCTTAAAGGTAATAAGATTTTTATTTTTGTCATGAATCATTAAATATGTCCTGTGACATATATAACATTTAAATATTCTTCTTTAAAACCTATTTAGTCTGCCACTGAAGTCAGAGAATCTGTGGCCACTGAAGTCAGAGAATTTGTGGCCACTGAAGCCAGAGAATCTGTTACAAATGAAGTAACAGAAAGAACAGAGCTGCTACCATTCCTACCAGGTACATTCTGCAAAGTGGATCACTTTAGATAGAAATAAAATGTATTAAATGCTTGCAGAAAGTGCCACCCTGATTCTGTTTTCCCCCAAGTTGACAGTACGACTTGATATAAATGCAAATGTTATGTTAGCACCCATGTTTTTAAAAAAGAGTATTTATGAGGAGTGCAAGATAAAATTTTTAAGTGTATGCTCAATGAGGTGCTTCCACTTTTGTATTTCAGTGTCCCAGGCTTCCAGTGTGGGGTCTCTGCCAGAAGGATTTGCAGAGGGAGGTTCTGATACTCGTGTGATTTCTCCACAGTTTAAAGATGCTGTTTGGAGAACCGGGTGCAGTGCTGCACGCCTGCAATCCTCGATCCGGAGAGACTCTAACTAGACATCCATTTTGCTCAGGAGGTTTCCGACTAGTGTGCAAAAAGTAGCATATCAAAATCAAGAAAAACAATTTTATTCCTACTAGGGGAATCCAGCCCATATTGAAGTTTGGATCTAAAGTGTTTTTTTTTTTTTTTTTGTCCCTTTTTTGTATCTGTGAAAGTAGTCCTTTTATTCAGTCACGTGTCGTATTTGTAAACACAAATCACTAATTACAATTTCACATGATTGACTTTAGATTTTAAAGATACTTATAAAAGTGTCTTGGCTGCACTTAACATTTTTCTTCCTTTTATCCCCCCCCAAAAAGTCCCGTTATGCGTTACCTCTTAATTGTCAAATCACCCACAAACTTGAGAAAAATCCATCTCTAATATTTTATTTCCATTCTGCAAAACCTCATGCCACTTACTATCAGAATACAAAAATCATTATTGAGTAAAATCAAGAAAAAACTGACTCTACAAGGGTAATGGCAAAGATTGACAGCTCTAGTGCTTGGGTGAGAGGAAGACACAGGAGGAATAATTTACAGTCACCAGAGAGCTGACAGCCGAAACGAGGGAAGACTCCGTGCACTAACCTGAGATTAGGAAGGAGAAATGTGCCCGACAGTGGAGAAAACATTTTCACATGTCGGAAACCGTGTGACCACAGGCAGCAGTGTATGACTTTGCTGTTATTTTGTGATCAAAATGCTTAGCAGATGGTTTAAAATGCAACATTGTAAGATAAAAATGAATGTGCGTTATGAATTTATTCGCTGCCAGTGTCTTTGGAAATCGTTTCTGGAGGCTTTAATGGCTTAGGTTGAGTGGATGAGTGAATGTGCAAAGCTTTAGGATGTATGGCGCCCTCTGCTGCTTATGAGGAAATATCCCATGACCCCCAGGCTGAGAACCATCGCTTTAGCCAACTAGAAACATCCAGCTCAATATAGCCTTGACTGTAATTCTACTTGGAAAGCAACAATGCAATGTTTTTTTTTAGAAAGTGGTTTAAACAGTCCTTTTAACATACAGACAATATTGCTACCTATGAAGTCTATGTAATTTAATTAAATAAATGTATTTGCCCACAGAACCAGAGTTAGAATTGATTTCAGTGGAGGAAGATAGTCCAGATGAAAGTGCAAACAATCAGCCGCTGGTATGAAAACTTTAATTTTAAATGTCACACAGTATTGCTTTCCTTTGTTTAGTAGTATTACATCAGCCACATGAAGTCAAGTTTTTAGATTACTTGATAGAATCGATAAATCCTAACGAAATATTGAACGTTTAAACCATTTTTCCCTTGTTATAAAATTTATCCTAGCTAGTTCGAGAGCAGCCAGGGCTACACAGAGAAACCCTCAAAACAAAAAATGAAACAAAACTTTAAGATATTCTTATACTCCCTACTAATTTTTAGCTAAACTTGAAAAAAAATTGTCATTTGAGATTTTGCACAATGTGTTTTGATCATAGTCCACCAACTCCCTCCAGACCCAGCCCAATTCCCTACCCACGTCACCATGCACAGCCCCCACCCCTTTAACCATGCATCTATTACATTCAGTGGAGAAGGAAGAGGAACTGAAAGCTGGGTTCACAAGTGGCTCTCTATTTAGCTTGATGTTGGCTGTTGGTTTGCTGTATATTGCCTTTATTATGTTTAATTCTATGTTCCTTGTATTCCTGCTCTCTCCAAGACCTTTATCATAAAGGGATGCTGGATATTGTCAAAGGCTTTTTCAGTATCTAATGAGATTATCACGTGCTCTTTTTTTCCCAGTTTATTCATATAGTGGGTTACATTGACAGATTTTCATATCTTGAACCATCTCTGCATCTCTCAAGCAGGGAGGGGGAGAGTGGAGGATGAGTGGGGGAGCGGGAGGGGAGGAAGTGTAAATTTATGAATGGAAAAATAACAAACAAAAATAATAAAAAAGCAATACCTAGCCACAAACCTAGCCCTACACAAAGTACTAGAGGGAAAACTCCAACCCAAGGAAGTTAGCTACATCCAAAAAAATACAGACAATAGATGATCTCACAGCAGCAAATCTCAAAGAAGGGGAAAACATACGCAATAACATCACCAACAACAAAAACAAAATAACAGGAACTAGCAATCACTGGTCATTAATATCCCCTAACATAAATGAACTCAACTTTCCTATTAAAAGACACAGATTAACAGATTGAATACAAAACAGAATCCATCCTTTGCTGCATACAAGGAACACACCTCAGCCTCAAAGACAGACTTCAGAGTAAAGAATTGGGGGAAGATTTTCCAATCAAATGGACCTGAGAAATAAGCTGGTGTAACTATCCTAAAATCAACATATACACACTCATGTAAGCATTTTTCTAACAGTAACCATTTTATACAAAAACTTATATGATTTAAGGATTGTTTACCCATACTAAACAACTTCTTTAGTGTTTTGTTTATACCTAACACGACAAGCTAGGAATTCTTTTTATGGAAAAATGTCTTCTTCTGCCTCTAAGACAAGTTCTGTCATTGGAGAAGTATTCTAAATGTTAAATATAATAATATATAGCTAGTGGTTTTATTTTTCAATAAAATTTGTCTAAATAAGTATTTTTGAGAATTCTCCTTTCTTGGGAATGCAAGGTAGAGTTAGGTATTTAGAAGTTAATTCTTATTGAAACGTGCAGATTAGCCATTATTGTATACACACATTTGCTTCCTTTGGCTTTCCATGATCAGTTTGCAACCAAATGACAGAAAAGGATTAAATTGATATAAAGAGCATATACAACATCCTCATCAAGGGCTTTACTGTCTGTACAACTTATATTTATTTTCTAGTTTAATTGCTTTTGAAGTTGGAAAATGAGATATTTTCTCAGAAGGCAGCTACGAGACATTTATGTAATGTATTTACACTTATTTTAACAGAATACCTTGGAGCATCTTCCACAAAAGAATGTTGGCCATTTATCTGGTACAGGATATCAAATGAGAAACATTAATATCAGTGGACAAATGAAAGGTAGGAATAGAATTTTATTTTGAAAACTATGTGATGACTTACTTATTCAAAACAGATGACTGCCACATGATACTAAAATTATTTTAAGTATTTCATAAGAAATAAGAAATTTAAATAACAAGTTGAATAACATCAAATTCTAGCAACATGCTTAATATGTTACAAAAAGATCTGGACTATGAGGTTCATTACAGGGTTTTCTAGCACCCAAGGAATTCTGAGATTAAGGAAAGGATGGAAGGAGAATGCAGAACAAGAACAGTGTGATTGAACGGAGTGAGTGATGGGAAATGAGGCTTTATATACAGCAGAGAGGGCAAGTTATGAGAATAGTTTAGCTAAATCATGGAGCGGCATTATAAATCCTATAGAAACATAAACTCAGCTTCCAGTATTTAAATATGTCTAAGAAGTGAACTAAAATGTTCTTATACTTGTTGAATACATACTACATTGATTTCACATGTAACAGGCTTCTACTATCTTTTTATTTATTTATTTTTTATCTATTTACCTGAAAAGTCAATTTATATTTTCGTTGGATAATCACATTTCACTACTGATGTCTTGCACATTATGCTGTACATGTGGTTCACATAACTTCTCATATGATTGAGAAGCAGTAGGTATGTAAACTAGGGTCGGGTGGTGGCGGTGCACGTCTTTAATACCAGCTCTTGGGAGACAGAGGCAGGTAGATCTCTGTAGGTCTGAGGCCAACCTGGTCTTCAGAGTGAGTTCCAGGACAGCCAAGGCTACACAGAGAAATCCTGTGTTGAAAAACCACACACACACACACACACACACACACACACACACACACACACGAATACACCAAGATATCTAAACTAAATATAAAAATTGAGCCACACCAGTCAACAACAAGAGTGTAGGAAAAGAATATTGTAACTTTCATTTTTTGGAAGAACATCATCAAAGATAGTTCAGAGAACTTTCTTGGAAAAGTTACCACTAGTGTGTTCTTCATAATTTATGGTGTGAACTGAAGAAGGTAACAAATATCATCCTTACTGATCCAAACTGTTGACAGTATTTTAGTGACATATACGATGTCCCACTCTCCCCACGTCTTTGGCAGTCCAGTGTCCACAGAGTCATGCTTTGCTCTCTGGTTAAAGGTCCCTTTTCTCCTCATCCATCAGTGCGCTCGCCACATTGGCATGGGTGCCAATTCTGCTTCTGGTAGAGTCAGTAGATTCACAATCTCCACTGAAAATATTTGTTGAAAGCTCTTCTCTTATTTTTATTCATGGTATTTCTTTAACATAGCTGCCTCAATCAGAAAACAAGAAAACAACCCAAAAGTTGCCCAATCCCCCCTTTAATTATTATTAAAGGAAAACGTGAGGACTCAGTTTGATAACATTATGATTGACTGATGTCCGTTTGGCATTTTAGAGTCTGACGAGGAGCATTCTCAATTGACGGTAATCACAATTGTACTTTATCTTGGATGATGAGCATCAACACTGGGTGACGTATGCAATATTTATTAAGTGTCCTGTTTCAAAACCCATCCAGACTCCTATTGAAATCAAGGACGATGATTTCAAAGAAGCATGGGCAACAAAGAACACGCCAGCCTTCAAATCAGGTAAACTATGCCATAAAATTATCGTAGCTAGAAGGAAACATTTTAACATTTTCCAATTGCTCAGAAGTTTCTCATTCCTTCTTAAGAAAAAAAAATCAAGGTGGGTTTGTGCCTAGTCTGATTGTAACTTGTTGTGCTGTCTTTGGTTGATATTGGACTACTCTTTTCTGACGGGGAATGGGGGAGTAGTGGATCTGGGGGAGAGGGGAAATAGGTGGGGACCTGGGAGGAGTTGGAGGGAGGGGAACTGTAGTTGGAATGTATTGTATGAGAGAAGAATAAAAAAACTTTATAAATTTTAATATTGTATTGAGCTAAATACTTCAGAGGTCATTGTTGGTGTAGATAATTGAAAATAAAGGCATTTTCAGGG